TTGGAGTTCTACCAGTCTCTATGCAACCAGTAACCTGGTCACTTTTAGTACTGAGTTTTGGTTCCACATTTTTCTCCCACTCTATCCATGGCCTTCTAATGGGATTCCTTTTGGAGCAGTTGGCAGTGGTAGCCAGACACGAGCTGGTTCTTCCGGTCTCAGGGTCATGGAGACTGATGTTCACAGCGGGTCAGTCCACTGGACTGTTTGCATATACCTTTTGATGTTCGTTACTTTTCTTTGCTCCAGACAAGGAGAGATCAGTAAACGCACCTTAAACGGCCATGAGTTTTCGAAGACTCCAGTTGCAAATCGACAAGGTAAGATACCTAGAGCAGTCTCAGTTCAATATATTTTGTCCATGATAAGTTTATGAGATGTAGATCTCCAGGCCTTCCTCCTGGGTACACTTGAACCTCCAACCTTTCAATTACCAGCAGTGGCAGTCACCTAATCTGGTGTCAATTTAAGGAGTAAGTGTGTAGGGGTGGAGTCTAGGCTGTCAATCTGGAGAGAGCCAATGAGACTTCTATGTGGGCATGGCCTTCTGAGAATTCTGGGAAATCTGGTAGTTCCTCCTTGGTGGCGGAAACACCTCTCTCTCTCTCTCTGCTACTCCCTGGAAGACATTGCAGAAGACAAGCCACATGGACGCAACCAGACCTCGGAAGCCCGAGAAGCCACAGAGAGACCCCTGCCAGCACTGAGATAGAGGATTACAACGCCACTGGACCCAAAGACTTTCTATCCACTGGGTTGGGATCGTCCTGCATTTGGCTTCATTGCATGTGTTTTGTGAGTCTGAAGAGGAATTTATAGATTGGTATCGGATATATGGGCTAATATCAGACGTATGGCCTTGGACTGGACTGGGCTGGAATGTTTTCTCAATGTTCAATTCCTCTTGTGTACCCCCCTCAGGAACATCTGTGAGCATGGACTGAATGCCTAAAACACAATGAAGCCTCGAGTTTGAGAAGATTGTATACAAGCACCCTGATCCACACGGCGAGCGAGGGACTCAAAGAAGGGCCGTAACAGCCTCACACCGAGCTGGGGACTAGCTCCCTCTGCAGCTGTGCACATTCATGCATGTTTATGTACTGTTGAAAGCACGCAGTATCCAGATTTAGGAAATCAACCCATGTTATACCCTGGAAATAGATTTCATTTCCGTTTCTAAAGATAAAATCCAAACGAGATAGAATTTCTCATGATTGAAATAGAAATACTTGGGAGAGATCATTAGATTAAAAAACAAAATACATGCACACTTTCGCTTAATCATAGAATCAGGAGATTGAATGCAACTCCTGGTGGCCAACAACAACAAGCCACTACAGTTCAAGCATTCTAAATATGCGGGGAGTTTCAGACCAAAGGCTACTTTCATTAAACACGCACACAATTGATCCATGAAACAAAGATGTCAAATCAAGCAGCAAACCATGTAAAAATAACTCCAGCCATCAGGAGAGATAGAGAATTCTTCCGATCTTTCCATTTTTATAGAAATTAGTTCATGTCTTTTTTACAAAAAGGTCGTCTGTTTCATGACAAGGAAAGCTTTCCCCTAGAAAGATTCAAAAGTTTTAATGTATTATTCCTCAAATCCCTTCCTCTATTCCTTGAATATGGTTTGACTTACCGCATTACTAGAAGATGCTAACTACTGGACAGGTTTTCACCTACCACAGTTTGGGACTAATGAAAACGAAGTATCACCTGTCTAGTGATGGGAGATATAGATGGAAGACACAGAGGCAACCTGGTAAGTAGAGGAAAACGGATGATCAAGAATATACCACTTGTGTTAATCCAGGTAGACTAGAGAAACAAATCATAGAGACACTCATATGTGTATAGAAAAGAGGTTGATATACAAGAGCAATTGAATATTGAGACAGTCCCAGCCCAGTCCAGATCAAGTCCATAAGTCCAATATTAGCCCAAATGTCCAATGCCAATCTATAAAGTCTACTTCAGACTCACAAAATACATGCAATGATCCTGAATGCAAAAGGATCCCAGGCCAGTGGGTTGGAAGTCTTGTGGATCCAGTGGAGCTGTAAGTATCTCAAAGCTGGCAGGGGTCTCTACATGGCTTCTCCAGATCCAGAGGTCTGGTTGCATCAGAGTAGGTCCATGTGTCTTGTCAGTAGAGCGTCTCCAAGGGAGTGAGCAGAGAGAGAGAAGTGTCTCCCGCCTCCAAAGAGGAAATACAGGAATTCCCAGAACTCTCAGAGGGCCATGCCCACACAGAGGCCTCATTGGTTATATCTTGATTGACAGGCCAGACTCCACCCCTTCACTCCTAAACCTTTTAAATTGACACCAGATTATGTAATTACCACAGCACTCTTGAAACTTTAGTTATAGTCATTGTCAGAAGAAACCCCCCAAAACTCTTCATCCCTTCTCTCTTGGACAAATTTTTCTAAAATAAAGGATTGTGGACCTAGCTTATTCCTGTCAAGGGCTGGATAAAATTTTCATGCTACTTTTAAACCCAGACATTTTGGTGCTGCCACCTGCACATGTCTATGGTGCTAACATAGGATCCAGCAGAGCTTCTTGGCTAAGGAAGACTATGAAGAAAGACCTGGTGGTCTACTTTAAAATACATAATAAAAAAGCCTACAGATTACAAGAATCCAATCCACAACCACTCACGGGTGGGCATACAACCAAGCAGCATCTTGTCCCACGGCAATAGATAAGGCCAGCCTTTGTTAAGGACTGCTTCAACAGCAGCCTGTAACAACGATGCTTTTAATTTGCATGCCACTTAGACCTACAAACACTTTAATAGGGCAACCCCCCCTAAAAAATGACCCCTGTAGGTACTTTTTAAATTGATTTTACATTGCACTTAAGAATTGTAAATTCCAGTGCTTTTGCGAGATTGACTTTTTTTAAACTGAACTCCATCCACCCACATTGATTTGTCAAGGTCCTGAACATTTTGAGACCAATAAATTATCCTTTATATCCAAAGATACAGCCTTGCTCTACTACTGATGGGTCTCTCCAGTGACTTGGTCTACCAGGATATCATTGGGGGAGAGGGGGGTAT